GATCATGTTCTTGATGACCTGATTGCCTCTGGCATTGACTTGAAAAAAATGACCTTTGTGCAAGATAATGCAAGTTGTCATAAGTCAGTAAAAACCATTAAATGGTTTAAAGACCAGAATATTAAGCTTGGGATGCATCCACCACAATCCCCTGATCTCAACCCCATTGAAAACGTGTGGGCATGGCTCAAAAGAAGAGTTAACCTGAGGCAGCACGAAATACAAAACAAGGCTGATCTGTGGAGAGTGTTGTCTGATGAAGTATCAAGAGTGAAACCTACAGAAATTCGACGCCATTTTATCTCAATGCCTGGTCGCTTAAAGCGTCTAGAAAAAGCTAATTTTGATATAATTTGATGAGGAAATAAATAATGGGTTAAATATGCTTTTATTGTGCTCTTCCTAGTGTATATTGATATAATTATGTATATAATGTAGCTATCTTAGAGCGTTGTAATGCATGTGGAATTTGGCGCAATTGATCCTCTCAATTTCCCCTCTTAGCGAGTATATAGTATGCATAATATTGGTTGAAAGTAACATATTCTATCTTAGTTTTCAATAATACACGCATCTTAAGAATAAAATTTATTGTATGGTGATCTCTGTAGTAACTTACAGCCTCAAAATTTCTATTTGTTAGGGTACTTGATTCATAAAAAAAGTATTGGCGCAATTAATCACAACACTATACCACATCCAACAATAGTGATAATCATTTTTTTTGATAACGTGTAATATATAAGAAAAAATTGTTATTAACCCATGTTACTGATGTTTATAATCGAGACACTGTGTGCCGTGGGTGGATGTGAATATGAGAAAGATGTGATGAATGAACTGAAGCAGTTACGTGAAAGTACACATAAAAACTTCGAAGGTATCAAAAGTAAGATCGCTGACTACAAGAAGGACCTGAAGATCGAAAGAGAAGATGATTCAAAGTTACCAATCAAGCAACAGGAAGAAATAATCAAACAAGGTTATCCTGAATTTATCAATAGTGATCTTACTGGGGATTTTAAGAAGCTACATGACTCTTTATCTGATTACCGATTTGCATTAGTAATTCAATCACCAACACAATCATCAATTCAAGAAATGTGTGCTGATCAATATCATAGCTTACAGAAGACAAGTTTAGAGAAGATGATGGTTGTGCAAAAAAAGTTCCTTGAAATGAAAAAGGTTCACTTGAAACATAGGTCGTTCTACCTGAAAGTAGCAAATTGGATTGATAGCCGCAAGAAACAACAAAGTGACGCATTCTCATGTCCAGAAACACAAGCTAAATTAAAGGGTGAAATGGATACGATTATAAGTGAAATACGTGATAAGAAGGAAAGCTTGGACAATACAAAGACTAAATTGAAGGAATATGAGACAGCAATTGCAAATTTACTTATTGTCAAGAAAAATGTGCATGGTGATTTGCAGAGTGAAATGCATTACGAAGGTGAAGCTACAGATTGATAGAATGCTATCATAGTAGATGGATTTTAATAGTAAAGTGTTGGGTACAGCATTTATTGATGATTCATTGTCCATAATTGAGGTTCAGGGTAAACTGTCTCTTATATAGTCCTTTTGATAAGTTTGACACTTTTCCTGATATCAATTCAGCTATTTGACATAAAGGATATTTCTTGCCTGTATAAAAACACCTTTATCATGTTTTTGACCATTTGGTACTACTAATATCAATTTAAGTTATCATTGTGCATGTCATATATTTTTGATTTATTAACTTTCTAATATGGCATTTCTGATTTCTTGAATTGTACTGAAATGTAAGATACACAACACAATATACAGATATCAAAATATAAATAACGGGTATTTAAATGTAATATTGTTATTAGCCCATGTTATTACTCTCTATTGGATTCATGTTTAGCGCATCTCGCAGGGAAACGTCTATTGTAGATGATCTGGTAGATGGTTTGGTAGATGGTCTGGTAGATGTATACTATCAAACTATGCAGTTGGTACAAACTAGAACTAGTCATGATGAGGAAATTGTTGTACTTGTTACTGCCCTGGATTCTCAATTCAGTGATTTCGTCAATGTGGAGTTTGATGATAAGGAAAAAATGATAAGAGAACAATATGATGAATTCATTAGTAGGATAAATCAAATGGATGTACAACCAGTGACTGGTGCCATTAGTGAGTATGAAAACAATATGTTACCAATTAGTGCAAATTACTCATCACTAGATGATGTTGAAGCGAAACACAGCGAGTTGTCTAGTAGTCTAGACAAATTAAAGAAAGCATGCGACATGTTACATACCCAAAGAAAGGAATTGCTGAAGTGTTGTCACTACTTCAAAATGGCGAAATTTCTTTACAGAATGTGTCAAGCGCTAGATGACCCTATTGATGACTTTGATGGGGATATTTCTTTAGAAATAGAACAATTCTATTTTAGTGATGACGAGGTGTCATGCGATGAACATCTAATTAATATCTTCAAAGAAGCTAGCGAGAAAGCATGCGAACTCGTTAATATGAGTGGAATAATACAGGATCTTTTACAGAAAAGATACGCACTGATCCAAGACTGTATTTTATCAACCAAGACGCTCAATTAATTAATTCATTCGCAACTCTAATTCCACTACATCAAATGTATCAAATACTTCCTCTTTCTCCTTCCTAATCATTCTAGAACATATTTCCCTGACATTTTCATTATAATAATCCCTGTATATCCACATGCTATATGTAATAGACTCGTATCTGTTGCACAACATTAACATTCCCATTATCAATGATGATCCATACATGTTAGACATTATTCATCACTTTCTCCAGTAAACTGATACACTCCGTTGCAAAAGTTTGTGGTCTTTCTATTTCATCTTCTGCACATTGATGAAGACCGCAATAAACTTCTTATTTAGTATTTATAAGCGAAACTACTTATTAAGACAGGCTGAATTTTATCCTAACCTTCTTGGACGACCACTTTCAATAAATTGTTTTGATCAGCAATTTGGATCAAGTCCCTTTTTTTCCCCATTTCAGTTTAAGGTCCCTTTTTTTCCCCATGGAGTTTTCTTAGTAAAAATAAAAACATGAATTAGAGTGATTTATTGGATCCTAAGAAGCTCAAATAATGCTATCAAGCCCATTCTTTTCCCAGTATTGTGCTTCCACATGAACTCACACAACAGTTCATCCAGTTTAACACCAAGAATGCCTTTGTGCATCTTGATGTTGTACTTGCACGTATTCCACGTCGACTCAATATTCTGAGTGTGGGTGCCAGTAACTGGGTTCACAAAGCTCTC